AGAGAGAGAGAGAGAGAGAGAGAGAGAGAGAGAGAGAGAGGAGCAAAGAAAAGCAAATGCCGTTTCTATTTGAATATATGCTCTTTTTTTATTGCTTGTTTACTTCAATCATGCAGTTTTTTGTTTCATTTGAGATAAAAAAAAAAACATAAACACAAACACTCGCGTTCATACACACCGAGAGAGAATACACAAACTAAACCGAAAGCAAATACAAACACACAAACACACAAACGGGCTTCGGTAATTCTGTGAAATACATTGGGCTTTGTGTTGCAACACATTAATTATCAATTGAATGCAATTGAAATTAGATCATTTCAAATTAGTTGTATGTCTTTCTTTTGCATTTCATTTCATTTTAAGTGTTATGGATGCATGCTCAATGCGGTGCTTTTTTCGTCATCGCCGCCGCCGTCGTCGATCATCATTATGATTTTCTATTCATTTGGATCGGCAGCTTTGACGGCAATGACAGCGGCTGTAGTTCAAAAAAAAGAGAGAAAAATTAACTGAAAATTAGTGTAGCTTAAGAAGGATTGACCGAAGTATGCGACTATTGCTACTATGTTTACATCCTCTTTTCAATCCTCATTACGGCATTCTTGTGCTCTTTTTTATCCCGGTGAATAGCCGCAAGAAGAGTGTAGCTTCGCTGGTAAAATGAAAGTGCGCAAATAGTAATAGCACTAGCGAATCAACGATAAACCCAACTGAACCAATTGAATATTCGAGATCAAAAGACTGCACCACATAACAGCTCGCATGTGATGTTCAAATGAATATACGAAGAGCGAGCGGACAAAAAAAAAATACACACAACAACAACAACAACACAAAATAACAACAACTCAATGGATCGGACATCATGTGGCGAAGTGCGAGTGGTGAAGAAAAAAATACACACACACAATAAAATAATCCAATCTCAAATTGATGAAGTCTCTTGGTGGCATATTAAAATGCGAGGTGATCATTTGATTTGTACATGAGTTATCTGTACAGGGTGGAAATAAAATCCATTGTCACTAGTATTTTCGATGCGGAATTCACACCCCAAAAACCCAGACGCACAGAGAGCACGGGCAAGAGCAAGAGTGAGAGATAAATAGAGAGCGCGTGTATATCGCGCCGGTTTGTGCGCATCGAAAAGCATTTTGAAGCTCCCGTATCTTAAGAGATACGTCTCCTTTGTATCCGTGGTGCATAATAATGATAATGATAATAATATACATACAATTCAGAACGTAAACACCGTGTTTTTGGCGGGCTCTTTGATCATATTTGTTTATGTATTTGTGCTGAGGAACTTACATGCCTACCGATCAACATCAAAGAGAAAATGCCGCAATTAACGTGTAAAAATTGTACGGCAATATATTCTATGCTGTGTCATGTATGTGTATGGCTCTCGCTTTGCCTTGCTATTCGGCATGCTACGAACCGATACAACCGACAACAACGACGACGGCTCGAGACCAGAGAGCGTATTCACACACATACCGAGCTTCGTGTTGTACGGTGCAAATGCGGGATCGTGTGTAGTGCAGAGAGCGAGCAACAGAGAGAATGACAGACAGAGACAGAGATCGAGCGCAGCTCACGCGTCGTCCAACAACACAGTGCTCGCAAGCACATATTGTGTGTATTGCCATTGCTCCTTTAAGTGATACACGTTCATCGTCCAATCCATACACATTGGCTTCGAAAATGCCATGTACAATCGCAACGAGAAACACACAGAGAGAAAGAGAACATTCAGCATTTTAACTAAAAAGAGATTTTCGTGTTGTTTTTGTTTTGTTTTGTTTTTGCTGCTTCGTTACAACTGCTGTTGATGCTGCTATTGCTTTTTTGCCTCTTCTTTTTTTCACTGCGATCCTTTTCGAGTTTCCAACTCAAATGCTCTCAAACTGCAAATGCACTGAATTCAACTTTTATATCGTTATCTCACTTCAACTTTCACTTTTCCCTCCGTTTCTCAACCTTCTCTTTGATGCTGCTTAATGTAGTTTTCTTTTGTTTTGCTGCATATTTTTTGTTTTGTTTTTTTGCATTACATCAATTTTAAAAATCTGGCGATTTCAGTTTGTACAAAGTTTTGTTCTTGGGGATGGTTCTATTGCTCTCCGAAAAAGAATCGAGACCATTGTAAAGTTTCCATTCGCACAATTTCATGTAAAATATGATCCATCATTGCCATAATATGTTCCAAAACTCAGAATAAATTTATGGAGCAAAAGGATGCAAAAAAAAACCAGAGATTAACTCGATTGTTAGACCGGGCAGAGTGAGCATCAATGCCATTTGCTTAATATACCAAAAATAATTTGTATATCAGTTTTTTTTCTGTTTCATTCTTTTGTTTTTGTTAGTACTTATTCTGAAGAGAATGAAGAAAAAAACAAACAAACAGTAATTATTAGTTTCACCGAAAAGATGATTGTGGTGTCACGTACGGCACATTTAGTACAAATGTGCATGTACATTAGCACACATAGAGAGAGCACGGTCTCACCGGTCACCGCCACACAATATCAACTCTGATCGAATATCGCATTCCAATCTGACAAAAGCGCGTTAATTTCTGCAACTTTTTGCGTACAACGTTGTTTTCTCCATTGATGCATTAATATATATTGTGAACTTTGACAAGTTTTTAATGTGTTCGGGTGTGTGTGTGTGTGTGTGTGTGTTTTAGTGGTCAGTCATTTATTGCATGCAACGTAAATTGCATTGTGTGCAGCCGAACAGCAGCATTTTTTAAGAACCGGAACATGGAAAATGCATTCACTCACTGGATTGCACTCACTGGTGCACACAATTCGATTTGGCACACGATAAGCGCTGCGCTTTGCATTCGTTCGGCTCTGACATGAGAAGCCATTTGAAAATAAATTACAACCTAACAATGAAACTCGGCGAAACTACGGTGAACATTTAAAGTGCACATGCCAAAACGTTTGCCCAGTAATAATGATTTAATATATCATGCACACCGTGTTGTTTATCACATTTTCGACAATTTTTTTTTATTGTTTTAACTTCATAATTTGTGACGAGGGTGGATGAAAAAGATCTTTTATTTCTACTGTGCCAACATCAACTCTACACAATCTGGCATTTCTCTTGAACGCAATTGCTTCAACGCATCCAGCATTATCCACTTAAAAACCAATGCAAAATGGGTTTGAACTAAATTGAGTCATTTTGGCATCCATTTGCACACTGAATCCTTTTTGTCACGCAACTGGTGACATTCATTGAGACCGAGCGAATCGAGGGATTTTGTTAACATGAATCATTTATATCGGTTGTGTATGAAATTTCTATCCGACATAAACTCAAATGCTATGCCATGCCCAACGATTTCAACGAGTCAGCCAATGAATATGATTCAGGAAGAGTCGCAACATCAAGAGTACATCAATGAAACCAAATACATGATCGAATGGATCGAATCAACAACAATTCGAGATAAATGAATGGAAATAAACGCGTTGCAATATCTCTTATGAATTACGTATAATGCGTATTAGTTTTTAATGGGAATTGAAAACAGAACGATGCCGCTCGTTATTACAATAACACAAACTGTTTTTGCTGTTGTTGAAGTTGTCGTCGTCTGTGTTTGTGTTGCACTTGCTGTGATGCCTAACGACGCATTCGGCGACAAATAGACCTTAACAGCAGCAGAGCAAGGCTTCATGCCATAAGCAGACCGATAAATTGTAATTTAGCGCCATATACGGAAAAAGTTCATAAATTATCAAGTTAATTGTATGACATTTTTCTGCATTTCTTATGAACCTTTATTATTTTTTTCTCCACATCATTTTCGAAAATCATTTCGATATTCAATTCTTTTTGGCAAACATTTTGGATTGGAAGTAAAATGGCCAGAAATGTGAAAAGGACGAAATTGGATTAGAATATCATGTGATGTAAAAATGATTGTGAACTTGCTAGGAAATATGCTTGTAATTGCTTTGATTCGAAACGTTTTTTTTTCTTCTTGTTCGTTGTTGTTGATGTTGTTGCGCATATTTATTATACATACGTCGATTTACGTCGGGATTTTAGGAATTCAAGTAATATAGAACATCAAAACATCGGCCACTTGAAAACAACTTGAGCTCATGCAATTCAGATTTGGTCATTTGAAATGTGTGTGTGTGTGTGTTTTTGCCAGTGCGCACCAGTTCGCAGGCAAAAGTAGTTTTCCATGCTGCTGAAAAATAAAAACCAAACACATGAACCGTACGCATTTTACACATGCAATCAACAACAAGCTGCCTACTTCTGCAATCACACGGTCGTTGTTGTTGTTTTCTTGAACCGTGTGCTCTTGTTGTTGTTGTTATTATTATGATTGAAGTAATTTTGAGTGTATGTTTGTGCAGAAGCCCCGTGTTCATTTATAATTACGACCAATGATCATTTAAATGTATGCTTGTGATTGCCGACATCGAACCGACATCACACAAACAGAACACATTCGATTAACCAACACAAATTGATGGGGGAAAACGCACGTACGGCAATGCAAATGTTCGTACGAGAGAAAAAGAGCGCGATGGAGAGAGAGAGAGAGAGAGAGAGAGAGAGAGAGAGAGAGAAAATGTAAGAATGCAAAAACAGTAACAGCATGTCAAACATCCATTCAGTCGGAATATGTGAAGAAATTATCAACGGCCCACTCCTATCGCGTTTCTCGTATTTGGCAATCGGTGGTATTGATTATTATCAAAGGAATAGAGAGTTTATCGGTTAAACGATTGAAATGCGAAGGACATTGCTAATCGATCTTCAATTTGGCCGAAACCTGGCTGTCAGGCTAGGATTCAGTCCGATTCGAAACAGGCGCAGTCTCAATTTTTTTCTGCTTCTTCTTCTTCTTCTTGTCTTTATTTTTCACTTGTTGATTGGTGAACATTCTGTTTCACTCTCGGTACCTCATGCCGGTTATGTCTGTGTGATTTACGGTCGCGAATCCAATCAAAGATATAGGCCGACATACAAATGTACGAAAAAGAGAATACGAAGACAGCAACAATGAATAAAAATACACGGCGGCACGAACAATGAAAACAAACCTATAGCTATATGTATATATCCATCTACACGTATGTATTAAGTATATACGTACGGTGCAGTTTTACCAGCGGTACAAAGTAATGCACCTTAGAGCTCTCTCAATCGCGCGCGCATCTCGCGTTTTTTTCTTCTTCTTCTTCTTCTTCTTCTTTTTTCCACTCGAACTTATGAGAGTGCATATTTTTTGGTGTAATTTTTAAGTGATTTGCGTAGTATTTTGTGTTGTCGGCATAAAATTGTGGTTGATTTACAGTTCAAAATTTACGAGGTAGAACAGAGCTGCGACCGGCCAAGATCGATTGATCGAGCGAGCAAGCGAGCATGCGGGCGAGACTGAGAGAGGATTATTTCTCTCACTTTATGCATGGAATGAAATGAATTAAGTGGAATGGCAGTGGTCGTGCGGATTCTTTGTGATGCAGCATCAGCAGCAGCGGCGGCAGCAACGTGTTGAACCGGCCACAATGTAAAACAGGTGCTGATTTATGATAAAAAGAAGCTTGATCATCTTCCTTATTGCTGAATGGAAAGGGAGGCAGATGGAATGACAGTCTCTTCGAAATGCCGAAAGCCATCATTCGAAATGTCGAAAGGATCGGTGCGGCCACTAGCCGTTTGTAGTTTGTGTTGTTGTTGTTTTTCCGGCAATCTTAATTGCCGCACAAATTTTCACACATTACATGTGCAAAAGCTTTCATTATTCTTACATCAAGCGAAAGGAAACGCCAGAAAATTCCAAGAAAAAAGCGAATTGTGTGTATCGGCTTGTAATCGGACCAGGAGCACCCGAGAGATGAGAAACAAAAGTCACAATCAAAACTTTGGCCACCAATTCAAAATGTGTATAGTCATTACAGCAAAATCGACAACCGACAAACAAAACAAATATGGAAAAGAAAAAAAAAGAAAATAATCGGACAATATTTTGTATGTGCTAACTGAAGAATGTTCACGCCGTAGTCGATTAGTCGATTTGGTTTTATGCGAATAACGGCTTTTAGATAATTACATTTAAGCAAAATACGAAATGGAGAGAGAGAGAGAGAGAGAAAAAAAGATCACAAGTGAAACGTGAAAAATACCGAGATCAAAAGCAAAAACATATAAATTACATTCACCGCTATCAGAGAGTTTATCTGTAGTTTTGCGGTGAATCAAGGAAGTCTATAAATCTGATCTACTGCCGTACTTGTCTTGAATCTACTTTTGATCTTTCGGTTTTGAATGAAATCAAAGTGAATTTCATTGCCCTGCAAAGAGCAACGCAGCAGCAGCGATGACGGCGGCAGCAGAAAAATTAAAAAAAAAGAATTTAAAAGAGTAATATTAGGATGAGTTCAATCAAAACACTCGTGAATAACCGTATTTTCATTCTAGGATTGCATCTTTTCGGAAGTTGTATGAACAAAATGAAGAACCGTCGAATATTTTTTTTATCAAGTCTTCGGTTGACTATTTATAAGTTTTGCACTTTGTTTACATTTCTGTCCATGCTGCCTCGCTCTGAGTTCAGATTGCAAAGAAGAAGAAAAAACAGGTGTTGCATATTGAATCTCTTTCTCATCACCTTTGTATTCTTTTGTTTATATGCGCCGATTGTCAGTGGGTTTATTTTTTGTGTTGAACATCATCAAATGCTTCAATTTGCATGAATTAAATTGAAAATGCAATTCTTGCCACGAACCCATTCAAACACTAAATTTATTCGGAATTCATCGAAAACTTGCACCATTTGCTCATTTGTTCCTCGTAGCCAATGAAGTCAATGAAAAAGGATGTGTGTGTGTTTATATGTTTGTGTTTTTTGTTGTTGAAACAAATGTTTGAGCAGACGACAACAAATATCAACGTTGAAATCGAATGCAAACCGAGCTACAACAAAGGCAACAACAGAAGAAAAAAAGTCTGTGTCCGATATGAAAATGTGTCAACTTACCATAATAATTGTGATGTGATTTGAAGATTGTCCAATGCGTTTGTTCGCTTGAAGTTTACCCATTTTGTTGATTGTTTTTTTTGTGGGTTTCGATTGAATGCGTTCGTTACAAGAGAATCAATGGCCAAAATGTAATGCAGCAGTTTTTTTGTTGTTGTTGCTGTTGTCGAATTGAATGTTATAATTGCATTTGTTTCGCGTACCCGTTTTGTTTTTCTTCACTTGGTAATTGTTAATAATCCTCCTTTCTTTTCTTTTCGATTTCTTTTTTTTTCTCGTATCAAATCACTTTTAGAGCATTTTTCTTTTTTCGATATTGATTCTTTTCTTTTCGTTTCTTGTTGTTGTTGAGAGAGTGAGGGGAAGATTTTGGAAAACGAAAATGATTGAATCACATTCGTTGTTTCCTTTTTCTTTCCTTGATTATACTCGATAGCCACAATGTTGAAAGAAGTAAAATGAAATTGATTTGATGCACTTCACATGCCATGTGCCTCACGAATTTCGGCTGCACTTTTTTTTAATCGACTTATAGTATTTGTTCGTTAACAATTAATTTCAGCAAGGATTGCGCCAAAAAATTCAAACGATTTGATTTTCGTCGTTTCGGAAATCATTTGACAGAAAATCGCTCCGAAAAGCACATTTTCGAAATGACAAAAACCAAAAATTTAACAGTCCAAAACAAATTGTCGAATGTCTTTCCACCTAAATGTTCTTTAAATTCGTTTGTATTTTTTACGTTGTTATTTCTTCTGATCGTTTTAATTTAAAAATATTTTTCTCGTCTTGTTTTTGTTTTTGTGATAACGAATTTTACATTTGACTCGAAAATTGAACAAAGTCGTTGTCGTTGCGCGCTCTCTCGATTGTGCTAAGCACACATCTCTTCAGGTGATCCGCTCGATACAAACTGATTTCGTTTGCTTACTATGCCGGAAAGTTGTACCTTTACAAATTTGTTGGTATTTCACCGAAACGTATGCACACACCACACGACGGAATTGTAATGTGTGTTTGAGTGTGCCAAGAATGAAGAGAGAGAGAGAGAGAGAGAGAGAGAGAGAGAGAGAGAGAAAGACAGCAACAACAAAAAGCACACGATGTTCAAATCAAAGCCGAAGACACTGTGATTGTCTTAGCACGGCATAACTTTTTTTTTCCTTTTACACACATCCAATACAGACGTATGCACATTGAAAACAAAACAACCACTACAGACGCAATCGGCGAGCAATCGTCTCCTGGACTCTCGATTCACATGCGTACACCTTGAGCGCATGCACGGATCTACCACACGATCCATATGCATGTGTTCGTGCTTCGGATCGATGGATGTGTGCGTGCGTTTGTGTATTTGGGAATGGGATAGAGAGAGCGAGAGAGCGAGAGACTTCACTTGATGCGACTGTGTGGGTTACGGAATACATGTGCTCGGCTTTGATGTACACGCTGCTGTGGCTGCTGCTGCTGCTGCTGCTTTTTCTCTGTTCGGATGCTTGAGCACTTTTTGATGAATGTTTAAAAAAGTGGCATGTGATTTAAGCTCGTGCATGGCCCGTTCGTTATTGAAAGTTCCGAGCAACAAAACAACACGAAATAATAAAACAACAACAACAACAGAAACACTAATCACAATGGTAGTAATAATATCTGCGCGTGCAAGCATCCATCCTACTGAATATATGCGCCGTGCGCGCTCTCCTCTGACAACTGCAAAACATTGTAATCGATGGATAGATTGTGTGGTGTACGAATGTGGATGTCGGCCTCTTCGGCATTTCTCTCTCGCGCGCCGAATGAACAAATCAACATGCAGAAATTGTTTTCGCTATAACACGCACATTGAGTGGCAACACACGGAGCAAGCTAGTAATGACTGCAATAACTGACTTGTTGGCTTAAGGGCGAATATCGATCGTTCATTTAATCATTAAAGAACTGGAAATAGCACAAAATTACGATAACGTGCATCAATGTTCAATCATCCCTCTGTTGTGTAATTGTATGGATGTGTTGTATGTGTGTGCGTCTGTGTGTCCCGATGCGCAATCTTTTGCGCTGATTTCTTTTAATTTTTCTCTCTTCTTCTTTTTATTTTCATTCACGCAACACCACATTCAGTGCATCACCACATCGTGGCCATCGTGTCGAGGTTCATGTGCTCAGTGTGTCCAGTTCGATGTGTTGTAGTTTGCTGTTGCTGTTGTTTCCAATGTAGTCACGCTGATTAGAAGCGTTCACATTGCGATGTCATTAATTCATTGAACTGCATTTACCGTCTCTCTATCGCTCTTTCAGCACATACGGGCAGGAATCTTTCGTTTTGTTTTATTAGAAAGTTCATCGAAAAAAAAACAACAACAGAAAATATCATTTTTTCGCTGATTCGATAGTGAATTTCCTGCAGCAACCCATTCTCAGTGGATATTAGAAGGAGATATTTCATGTTTTGAATGGAAAAATTTCCGATTTCGAATCATTACCGAATACCTAATGAAGACATACAAAATGCATGTTGTGATGCTTTCGTCTGCTGAATTCTCTCTTGTTTTATTCTCTTTCATTTTTAGCGATGAAGCTATTTTCCAACAAATTTCAATGGGTTTAAAATATAAAGCAGATTTTCGATATGGAAATAAGAATAATAGGTTTTTATACATAAACATACCATTTCTAAACAAAAGCGCTCCAAATCTATTTGCTGTTAAAATAGTAAGGGGGAAAAAATTCGCCGTCCTTTCCCAAAAGCCATTAGACACTCACGAGATAGTCGTAAAGAGCAATTTGAGCGACAAAAATCCGTTTAAATAGAAAGAAGAAAGAGATGCCGCCAAAGGACCAGAATCATCATCATTCCCATCTTATCATTCTCCCGCGCACACAAAGGCCAAATAAAATAAAAATGGATTTACGGCTTTGTTTCCATCGCAAACAAAAAAAGGATATATTCGGCAGTTTTTTTGGCATTTTTTTGGTTGCTGTATTTTCGTCAAAGGCATTGAAATTGTAACAGATTTTTCTTTCTGTTGTTTTGTGTGTCACTCTCTCTTTCTGTTGTTCCCACTCACACACATATGGCCTCTGTGTTTAGATAGGATCTGAATTGAAACTGAGAATGGATTCACCACGAGCGCTGGTGTTTGAATATTGTTTTTGTTGGCCACAATCGTACACATAAAAATGTCGAGCAATGAGAATGACATGCGTCATCTTTATTGTGCCGAAATTGAATTCAACCCATTCGATATGATGTCTAGCCCATCAATAGAGTTAAGCGATTTATTTCCTGTGAGTAAATATGCATTCGTTCAGTCATCTTCCGTCTCGAATCGAAAGGTAATCAGGGACGGAACTTGAGCACATTAGAGATGGCTCATCTGGTCAGTCGCCATCAGTCTTTCAAGTGATAAAAAACCGAAAAGAATACAAAAAAATTTCTTTTATCGTGGATGGATACCGAGTTTAAGAACGAATAAAAACACAAGCAATACATATGCATACGCAGAATCCATGGTTGGTTCATCCAATTCCGTCTGTGGCATACAGTCACGGATGGGATAAATAAATAATTTGTTCAGCGCGGCAAATATCTTTGTAATTTTTTGATAGCAAAGCATTTTGTTCTCTGCGTCATCTCTTTCTACCCGTGGCCCGTTGCTGCATTCAATTCATTTTGTGCATTTTATAATAACGAAGATTCATTGAGATTACAAATGAATTGATTTTTTACATTGTTTGTCGACGTGAACGTGGGTAAAATCGTATTATGGGTTCGCATCTATTGATATTCATATATAATTTTTTTTTTCATACTCATTTTCCAATTTGTGTGTCGTTTTTTGAATGTCTTTTCTACTGCTGCTGCTGCTGCTGCTGCTGCTGCTTCATTTTCGTTTGCCTCAATTTCTTTGAAAGATATGCTAAGCATGCCAGTGCATAGAAATTATTCGGCATGAGCAAAGGCAATCACTCACACAGGGAGTGGAAAAAAAAGAATCAAACAAATTTGAAAGCATACACACACACACACACACAATGTTGGTACTCTATTACCTTCAACTGATGGTATATTAAAGGTCTTTATTGTTACAAATCTAAATTCAAATCATAAAAATACTCAGTCACTTGGTACGCTAACGCACTCAATCTCGAATGCATGTTATATTCAAACACATTCTCTCGTTCTCTTGTCGAACATCAACGCCGAACCAAAGCAAAACAACAGAGACGAAGCACCAGCAACAGCAACAACAACAACAGCCGCAGCAGCAGCAACAGTCGCAGCACACAGAACGAAAGAGAGCAATGCTATGTTGTACCAGCTGTTATGAGTTTTGCGGCTTCTTTTTATCCTTGCCACTCTATTGTTTCCCGTATCGAAAGACCACTATTATGTAAACAACAGATTCTTTTGAACTTTGCCGCTCTCAAAGGTACCGGCATATTAAGTGTTTTACGTTAATAAATTGTATCACCGTCCCATTTTCGCGACATGATCTATTTTTCCTCTTTTTCCTTTTTTTCTGCTTTTGCTTGTGTCTTTGGATTGATTTTCTTCGTTGGTTGTTTTTCTCTCTCTCTCTCTCTCTCTCTCTCTCTCTCTCTCTCTCTCTCTCTCTCT